TTGCATGCATGCACATGTGGTTTTATCAAGACCTAATAATTATGAAAGCTGTTATTCCCATCAGCATTTCATTTCTGTAAGCCAATTTTTTTAAAAAATGTTCATTTGCCAGCATCATTTTCAACCTCTTTTTCCAGTGGTAGAATATATCTCAATCCCAGAGCTTTACAATGTGTCTTTCAATAAAGTTTTGCACCTAATAAAACATTAGGGAATAAAATTATATCTTACAATTAATTACTGAAAAGATACATATGACACTGATGAGCTAAAACTGCCCAGCTATTTATAAAAAAACCCAACAACACACAAACAAAAAAAAACCCACAACACAAAATCAGCTATGAAGTGCACTCTATTTGAAATCTGACAACTTAATTATAAAAAGAAAAATCTACTCCAAATATACAGAAACAATAGTATCAAAATATGGGAGTTTTTTCATTCAAGGAAATGTCTTATGAAGTATTAGATTCAAATGATTAACCTATGAAGTATTGATGCGATTTCATATAGGACAATTTCAGAGTAGAGATTTTGGTATTATTGTTTCCTTCCCTGTTATTTTATGACCCCACTATTGAAACAAAGTATTTGGAACCAGGAAATTTCACTCCCTTTACAGAAATCCATTGCGGTTTTCTCCCTGTTGTTGTACTTCTTTTTAATCAAAGATACATAGGATTTTAAATTAAATGTCAGCTCTTATAAAACATTGGGATACTAAAGAGTTTGACTGTCCTTGGAGAAAACTTGATAAGTCAGCTACTGGCCATATTTGTAGCTAGTTGACACCGAGCAAATCAAAGCAACAGATCAGTATTTAGCAGATGGCCAGACCATAGTGCTCTCAAAAGATTTACAAACAAAGTGTTAGAGCTCATTCATGTTTAAATAGTACACTTAATGCCAATATTTTCTAATTTTTTGCCACCTGTCAAAAATACTTCCTGAGCATTTTGTTTTATTTTTACTGGTAACAATGAAATCCAGATGGCTGTACTTGAAAGCATCAGTTCACTCTGATTTCAGCTAAGCTTTAAAACACACGGAGCCATCCTGAAAAGCTACAGAAAACATTTTTACAGTCAATTCCATTGATACCTCATGTGGTTTCTTTTGTCTCATTTCCCGTTTCATTATAAAGAACAGGATTATTACATTTTATTGGTCCCTCCTGCTTACGCCTCTCTGGGACTCATGAGGTCTGATTCATGTATACACTAAGGCCCCTTTACACATCCCAAGTAGTGAAAATAGGGCTTAGAATGACTAACTTTTAATTTACCTCCTCTTAAATTCCCTTTACAACAACAGACTATTCAAAGGCTGTTTGGGTATCAGGCCCATCATCTTCGGCATGATGAATCAATTTGTATAAGATTGTACGGGGAGATTTCGGCAAATCCAGTACTGTGCCTGAACCACTACTGCTTATGGCTTAAACTTTAGCAACCAAGCTAATAGGCCCAAATTAGACCTAGACTGCAGCTTCCGCATGACCACAGTCAGGGAAGTGGAAGAAAGGGGGTTTGAGTGCCACAGAGAGGGCAGCTTGACCCCACGTCCTTCTTGAGGCCCAAATCTCTAGTGAAATCGCTGAGCTATACATTTAGGAAAACAGGAAGCTTGTCCAAATGCCCTAAGACATATATCCATCAGAGCCCCCAGGCATGGAGACTCTGAAAGAGAAAAAACGCATCTGGCGAAAGTGATGATCAGAAGAAAATCTCTTGCCTAACCTTTAAAAAGTGCTTGCCTCACAAGTTTTTGAGAGACATGTTATTGTAATACTAATGGATAAATAGGGAAGGAAAGTTTGAGTTAGTGGGACAATTTTGGGGAATGCTTGGAGGGATGCCTCAAGAACTCCTTGAGGACTCTTCATATCTGCACACAACTCCATCCCCACCAGCAGACGGAAGACTGGCCATTGGAAGCCTTCCCGCTGTTACTCGAGAGTCACACTCTACTTCGGTAACAATTGAGGGTGGGGATGTTTTACTTACCTGTTGCAGATGTGTGTAAGTGCTTGAGACTAAGTAAAGTTTAGCTTTAAGTGAAAGCACTCGTGTTGTCCTGTTTGTACCATCCATCTAATTGTCAGACGACCGTGTCTCCCCTGAATTATTTCCTGACACCATCTCGCAGAGAGTAAAAGTTACTGAGAGTTTTGGGTTGAAAGAACCCGAGTAACAAGATGTGGCATGTTTACTAGGCTTTTCTGCTGCAAACAACACAACCTCTATTGGCCTGATCTATACCATCATTATAGTGGAGATGTAAAAGGGATAAAACAGTCAATCATAGCCTAATGTTTCCCACTGGGGAAGGTACCTGTGTAAAAGTATCATTTTTAAAATCACTTCTCAAAGTAGAATTGTACTTCTGTCCTGTAATTCTGCTCCCCATATGTACTGAGTTATTATGGAGAGATAGTTTATGGTATAAATATAATTATCTGATATCACCAGTTTTCTGTTTTAAACCTGTTTTCGGAAAATAAAGCCTTTTCCGGAAGATCCCTTGTTCCTGATTTTAAGTAGGAATAAGGGATCTTTTGTAAAAGGCTTTATTTTCCGCAAGATCCCTGTCTAGACTGGAGCTTTTTTTCCGGCAAAGCCCCGAGCCGGAAAAAAGCGGCAGCCATGTTCATGCAAATACCGCGGGGGATATTTAAATCCCCGCGGCATTTGCAATTCCAACTGGTCTCATTAGCATCCCTTTTCCGGAAAAGGGTTCCAATGTAGACACATCCCTATAGTTTCCCATGCTTGCTTTTCTGCTAAAGAAAATGTTTTGGAACAATACATTTCATAAGAGGAGATATTTTGAAAAATCAGAGATTTTCACTCTCGGAAAAAAAAATCTAACTTCTTTTCCTAAAATGCCAGCTTTGGTTTATATTGGCACTTCAACAAGAAGAATTGAACTTGACTATTCCGAGCATACCTGGTGGGCAATTTTGGGCTTACCTTTTAGTTTTCTAAACTAATTCCATGATCCAAAATTTTTTTTAAAAAAGAAAGACTTCAGAACCTGGACTGGACTCACTTGGGGCTTATAAAATTCATGGCAGCAGAGAAGCCTGCAAGATCCAGTTAATTAACATTTATAAATTAAATAGGAGCAAAGAGTTTATAATTTCCAAGTGTAAAACGCTGGCCCCTCTGAAGTCAGTAGTAAAATTCCCTTTCTCTTAAGTAGGGGCAGGATTTCTTTACCCCAATGCTCCGTGGAGCTGAGGTATCTCTGACCTGCCAGGCAGGGGAAAACACAGTTGCTCAGTAGCCACAAGTAAATCCAAGTGCTTTCTGGATAAGTCAAAGGGTTAAATTTCCTCATGACTTGAATGGTTCACCAAAAGAGCCTGGGGGAGGGCTAAGAGGGGCTCGATCCACAGAGCGGAGTGATGTGTTTTCCGGTAACTTTTTGTTTGGACTGTATGTAATCATCTGTGGGTCCAGGAAATGTTCAGTGTGGAAAGAGCACTCTGGAGTGGGGACACCCAACCCCTGCCCTAGGTGACCACAAGGTTAGGGGTTGAGACCCAGGTGTCCTGGGCCAGGCCTTGTTGGGGTTATGAGGACTCTGCCTCACAGGGGAGTGGAAGGGGAGCCCTTGAGGTGAGGGAGGCCTGTGGGTAAAGGAAGTGGGAGCAGGGACTCCGATCCTTCCACTAGCTCATTTCACCAAGATAGTGTAGGAGCTAGGAAAGTTCCCCACAATAGCGGGACACTTTCCTTGCTTGCACATAGTTTTTACTTGGATCTGGGAAAAAAGAAACTCTGGTACAGTCTTCCAGCTAGGACTCAGTCTCAGACTGGTGATGGCCAGACCATTTTAGTTTACACTGAGGACAAAAAACTCTCCACACAAAATCAAGTGAAATTAAAACATATCAAGAGACTAAAAATTAGAAACCTCAGCATAATAATCCAAGCAGAACAAGGAAAATCTTTTAAAAAAAAACCAAAATAAAATAACCCTCTGGCTACGTCTAGACTGGCATGATTTTCCGTTAAAAGCATTTGCGGAAAAGAGCATCTAGATTGGCACGGACGCTTTTCCGCAAAAGCACTTTTTGTGGAAAAGCATCCGTGCCAATCTAGTCGTGCTTTTGCGCAAAAAAGCCCCGATCGCCATTTTTGCTATCGGGGCTTTTTTGCGCAAAACAAATCTGAGTTGTCTACACTGGCCCTTTTCTTTGAGGAAAAGGACTTCTGCCCAAACGGGAGCAGCATAGTATTTCCGCAAGAAGCACTGATTTCAGACAGTAAGAAGTCAGTGTTCTTGCGGAAATTCAAGCGGCCAGTGTAGACAGCTAGCAAGTTTTCAGCAAAAGCAGCTGCTTTTGCCGAAAAACTAGCCAGTCTAGACACAGCCCCTTTGTTTTGCTATCCTTGTCAAACAACACAATTTTGTTTTAAGTTATCTGGGAGAATGACACCTCAATCTGTGAGCCAGGGCACCTGCGTATCTTGCTGGAAGCTATATCTGAGCAGGAACAAGCTATTAGATGTCCACCCAATCTGCTCCTGTCCCCCTCTCTGTAGTCCAATTGCTGAAACAATAAGTCTGGAGCTTCTGACCTCTGAAGGCACAAAATGAATAAAGCTGGAACTCTTGAAAAGTCTATAAGCTCTATAAGATGGGACAGGACTTCTGCCAAAAAAGTGTGATAGATAGAAATAAGACTTCCGTTAGAGGACCCTTGACAGAGTAAGACTAATATTTGGTTGCAAAATTAATTTACTCACATATTTACTAGTAATTTACCTGTATATTCTCACAACTCCACTTAATTATCTGAACTATTCTGTTGAGATAATCAAGCTAAAGAGATACTAACTTCAGAGAATTTTAACTGTTAGATGTTTACCCTACTTATATTTTCTTACTCTTTCTATGACTTACATAGGAGAATATATGATCAGACTCTATTTTCAATTATACTGAATTGTGTAGATTCAATACCAATCAAAATGAGGGTTTCATACCTTGGAATACCTCTTGCCCTTTTGTTTTGTTGGATCCTTGGCTGGATCATACGGAGCAACCCCAGCATATAGATATTTTTGCTCTCTTGTCTCTTGAACAGCTTTCTGGACAGGATCTTGTCTTTCATCTTCCCTTTCGCATCTATGACCTGCTATAGAATAAAAATGATTTCATCCTCTTAAAATGTATTTCTCATGTTCTTCTGAAGAAAAAAAAAGTTCTCATTTACCTAGCAATAACCTTAGTATGAAAAACTAAACAGAACAGGTTGCTGAAACTAATGCAAAATATGTCTTTGAAAGAAAGCGACTCCCAAGTAGTCAGGCTGCATATATCAATAACTCCAGAATTATGTATTACTACTCTGACTCTCAGTTCAGCCCCTTGAATACAAGGTATTTGTGTGTGTCCACTTAACTTATATTACAATGCCCCAGATTTTCCATGTGCTACACATTCTGGTACAGTAATTCCTCATTTAACATGGTAGATACATTTCAGAAAATGATTGTGTTAAGTGAAAACGTGTTATGCGGGGTCAATTTTCCCATTGAAAATAATGGAAAAGGTGGGGGCTGCATTTCAAGCGGTGGTGTCGAAGTCAGTTTTCTGTTGGTGCTGAGTTGTCTCCAGCCTACACTTGCTAGCAGCCGGCTGCTGAGCACAGGCAGCTGCCTTGGGACCGGGACATAAGGTTGGGGGAGAAAGGGGACTGGGTTACAGCAGGGAGGAGAGGTGGTTGGCTCTGGGGAAGGGAAGGCGAGGAGAGGGAAGGGGGATTGGATTGGGAGTATGCCCCTGTGCCGGGTCTGCCGGGACCCACACTGCGTTCGGCGAGGAGGGGGTCGGCAGGGAGCGGCGAACCCTCCATCACTTTGCAGGGAGGCAGGGGAAGCCCCGCACAGCTGACGGCAACAGGGTGGGTGGGGAAACCCAGCCACCGGCCTGCAAGCGGGGGCAGAGGAGAAGGGGCAAGGCGCCCAGACGGCTACCCGGGGCTTCCCCGCCTCCCTGCAAAGTGGTGGAGGGTTCGCCGCTCGCTGCGCCGTTCCCCGCCAACCCCCCCTCACTGGACACAGTGCAGGTAACAGCAGACCTGTCACAGGAGCAAACTCACAACCCAATCCTCCTCCCCTTCCCATCCCCAGAGCCAAACACCTCTCCTTCCTGCTGTAACCCAGTCCTCTTTCTCCCCCAACCTTATGTCCCGGTCCCAAGGCAGCTGCCTGTGCTCAGCGGCCGGCTGCTAGCAAGTGCAGGCTGGAGCCGCGAGTGCACATGCGGCTCACAGTAGCCCCGCCGAGAGAGCGGCTGACCGAAGCACTTCCATATTATTTCAGGGACAGTCGTGTTATTCAAAAAACGTTCCCTAAAAAAAAATCATGCTATCGTGAAAACATGTTAAGCAGGCACGTGTTAAACAAGTAATTACTGTATTGAAAATAACATTAGAGATGTAGTGAAAGAAAATTTGCAGGATTTTTGTAATTGGATAGGGGAGAGAGAAATAAATTGCTGATTTGGCAACACTACAATGTTTTTCCTAATTGTTTATCTGAAAAACAAAAAACAAAAAAATTACAAAAATACCAAAACAAAACATTCAGAAATTCTGTTTCAGAATTTCCTATTTTGGGAGGGAGAGGAAGTAAAACATTAAAGATAGCTCTCAGAATCAACACAAAATATTTTATTTAGCCCTATTTTTTTGCCAGAATTGCTAGTGAACCAAAACACATATAACTTTCACAGCACTAAATACATACGGTAAATTACTAGGGTGAAATAAACATAAATATCTAATACAATCTGCTCTTTGTAAGTAAAGTTGAGTTCCATCAGGAAATTCAAACTCTTGAAAAACTGCAGGCATAACTTGGATTAAACAAGGATCAAAAGTGTATGTATGATGAACTCCAATAAAAGCTACAAAAAGGTGAAAAGAGCTGTGAAGTGAAAAGTGAAGACTACTGCAATAAATGCTATGAATAACATTTCCTGAATTACTGTAGAATGCAGAATTATTTTATTCATGTGGAAGATTTCCCCCTCGCTCAATAACTGTCACCCACTGGCAATTATGATGCTCACGGGACATTGGGTTTGTTTGGGTTTGTGAAATATATGTATTATAAACCACTACAGAACCATGAAAGTTAAAGAGCTTAAAAAGTCAGTAGCTGCATGAAAGAATGACCAAAATCGAAAGGACTGTGATTCCTCTGCATAAAATGGCTCATGTTTCCCATTCCAACTGCCTTTTGTTTGGAAAAGGGTCATTCAGGTCCAAGTACTATAACTTGAACTTTCCTTTTGCGTGACATTCTGAGAGCGGTTACATCAGATCCAGGAAGAAGGAAACATGGTATGAGGTTTAGCAGTGAATTAATTCAACCACGAAGAAAGTCTTTGAATTTAGACTTCATAACTGGGTAATAAACAACTGCACATTGCAGGAAATAAGAGAAACATACTGAGCTGCTAACCATTTCCTTGTATGGTTTTCAGAACCAATTCTAATAGCAGTGCTAGGTTCAAATATATATGTAAGACAGCAAAATGATTACTTCAATCTTTGGGGACAAGAACAGTCCTCAACAGGCCCACAGCTGCCACAGGGCCCGGGTCAAGGTGAGCAGGGTTGTTGGCTCTGCACCCCTGGAAGGGGCAGGGCCGAGGGCAGAAGGGGCAGAGCTGAGGGCGGAAGGAGCGGGGCTGAGGGCAGTCAGCCCTTAGCACTGCTCAGTCTGCAGAACCCCCCTCCAGGCTTCAGAGCTGTGCAAAGCATCGCTCCTGCAGCAATTCAAAGGGACCGGGGAATCAGCCGTATCAACAGCTGGGAGTTCTAAGTCCCTTTGAAACTCTGGGTCCTGGGGTAATTCCCACCTGGCTCCCTCCCCATCAGCAGACCTGACTGTCTTTATTTCCCATATCTATCACAATGGGATCCTGGTCCATAACAACAACACTTAAATTAATAATATTGTGAACAAATATTAGTCTTGCTCCCTCAAAGCTCCTATTTCAAATTTTTGAGCAGGTAGGTTAAAAAAAATCTTATTGAACATGGAGAAATTTTTGATCAACTTTTTCACAAAAGGGCTCTCTCTCATCAATGAAAAAATTCTGAAGTTTTTTTTTAAACTTATCCTTTTGGCCCAAGTGGAGCCAAACTCTTTAGCATGTGACAAACGTGAGGAGTCTTAAAAAGGAGGCATGTCAGGAGGGACTCGATTTGGCACGCACACTCTTGAAGTTAGTTGTGTGATGTATTGCTCAACTGGAATTTTAAGAGACTTTCCAGTTACTAACTAGTTCTTAATTTATTTAGGGAACTGGAGGATGGGATCATAGTTAAACCTAGTAGTTAAAAAAAGAACAAAACATGATGGAGACACTGGAAGTGTTAAATAACTTTAACAGTGGCAAGGAAAAAATTATTGACTCTATCCTAATTGTCAGAGTATTATTTTCCATGTTATCAGGGAGAATATAGGTACGCAACTTTTTCTAACAGTTTAACCCCCAGCTCACTATACCTAAAATGCATCCCTGTTCAGTAAGGAGTAACCGGAGCAAAGGGACACAATGAGAAATGTATGGGCCAGCAGGGTTAAAGTCAATAAGGATTTGTTTCGGTCTCTAAGGACCAAAACAAATCCTAACAATGGTATTACATGGTTTTCATTCCTCACATGTAACAGACTCACTTCTAAACAACTTGCACCAGACTGCATCTGGTCCTCCAGGGAATTCTGAGAGAATGAGAGTGAAAGATGAGTTCACCCTATTACACGTCTGCCAGACACAGCTGCAGCCCTGTTGCTCAGGAAAGTATTCCATGTGTGTGCCCCTACGGGAAGAACTCTTGCACTCTCCATCCCACTTTCACTTATAACTGGCTATGTTCATGAGGGGCTAGGGGAAGGCTGCACCCCAGAGCTCCCCAGGGATGTCAAAGTTCAGCCCTGCCAACAATATGGGGCAACATCATATTGGCATAATTTATTCTCTAGTTTATGACACCCATTTTAAATCCCTGAACCCCAGAATTTATATACAACTGACTTGACAGGCGAGAGAATGACGATTTTGTATTTGGGGCATTTGGAGGGAGATGGTAGAAAACAAGCATCACTCTCTCAAAATGTGCAAAAAGTTTCTACATGCTGTAGGCTCTCACCTGTGGCCTGTCCATAAATGGAAAGAATGACATTTACACATCAGGTCTGGAACAGGCAAAGAGCAAACACCTTTTCCCTCACATTTGGAAAGCTCAGTTCAAGCACACAGTTGCGAAGGTTAGTCACACACAATTTTACATGCAAGTTCTCTTCACTGTATTTATTTTATGTTGCTCAGTTACAACAAGAAAATGTACAATGTTGAGCTTCTAAGTCATGCAGCCGAACAAAGACAATTGTACAAAATAATGTAAGACAAACCCAAATCTAATTATTTAGATTTAAAATTTACAAACATGGTTATAAGTACCTTTGGCCTTATCTAAAAACAATCTCATAAAAGAGACCAAGCAGCCTATATTTCTCACTCCAAAGTCAGAAACTAATTGACAAAAGATTAAATCAAATCAACACAACCCTTTTAAGCAGTTGGGTGGCTTAATTTTATTTTGCACATGTACACGTCTTTATAATGGCTATGCAAATGCAGGAACTAGTGTAAAAACCTGGGCTTTGTCGCATGCCCTGAAGATGACAGGTTTGTAGAACAAATGGCCATTTGTATGGCCCGTATGCAAAAATGGAAGACAGGTGCTGCCAATCACCAGGCAGACATAAATATGGCTCTTCAGCCCCAATCTATCCCCCTTGACTGAGACAGCCCCAATCTGTCCTACCAGCCTTTGTTATGTCTCACAGGATGACCGCAACACATACCCAGTCCCAATTTTTCCCAAAATGTGTGCTCAGTACTGTCCATTGCACCTGTCAGGAGTCAATATTGACCAGTTTTCAACTTTAACTGCAGTTACCAAACAGTTCCATTTAAACAAAGTTCTGGCTTGGTTTAAATTAAAGATAAAACAAGTGTATTTATAAAAGAAGATATGATTTTAAATGTATTCAATTATAAGTTAAAATGGCTACAATCAAATAAAAGTGAAAACATGTATCTAAAAGTATAAACCAGTGTCACAAGTTGTGGTTGAAGGCTCAAGTTCTAGTCGAAGGCTTTGTTCAACATGGCTTTTCTCATCCATAGTCTTCCAGTAAGCCGCTGACTGACCCTTTCCTTGATCAGAATCTTTTCCAGAGGCCTAAAGATGCTGGTGTTCTTGTTAGGCGACAGAGGGACAACTTGGGGTTCTTTGCCCCATTCTTTTAAAATCCAGCAAACCTCTGAAGTGGATTCTTCACCCTTCAAAATTAAGCTCATTCGAACAGTAAAGGTGATATGGAGTCTGATGGTGAAGGAAACTCTAGGCTCTTTCTCCACCATTTGTGTTTGCTGAAAACCCAATTGTTGTTTCCCGCCATCACTTCCCCCAATGTCTTTAGTAAACTAGTTATATGTAAATTGAGGTAAATCCACATGCCTTTGTTTATTAAACCTGTTTAACATCTTTTGCCCATCTTTTGCATGGCTGAGTTGTTTAGAATGTGCACTAATATTACACAGGGAAATTTATAACTTTACACTAAATATTACTATGTACATTTCACCACAATATTATTGACCAGGAATGTGTAATTTTCAAATGATACCTCAAAAGGAATATTTTTACAAAGACCATTGTGGCGTGTAAGGTATGGATTTAGGGATGCCTAGTTTCACAGCAACAAACTGAAAATGTGAAAATGTGCAGCCTTGAAATTGTGAATCACAAATCAAACCATGACTCAAAGAGAGGGAATTTATGATGGTGAAAAAGATTTGGATGACAGCTGTAATCTCTGCATTAAGAATTGAATAAGTTATCATGATAGTTTAGGAAAATACTTGATGTCTCCTTCACTCAAATACAGGAATTAGGAAAACCAAAAAACTGAAGATTTAGCTATTAGTTCTTTCTGAACCCAAAACAATTTTAAAAAGCACAGAAATGGTGCGTCTACACTGCACTGTTATTTCAAGATAACTAGCATTATTTCAAAATAAAAATGCAAGCATCTACACAACCATTCTGTTATTTTGAAATAATTTCAAAATAACAGATGGCTTATTCTGAACACTGTAAACCTTATTCTATGAGGAATAGCATCTATTCCGAAATACCTATTTCGAAATAAGGCGTGTGTAGACACTCCACTGCTGCTATTTTGAAATAGTCCCTTCCTAGGGCCATTCTAAGTTATTCCTCCCAGTGCCTCCTAGGGCTCTAAATCGAGAGAGCATGTCTACATTAGAGAAGCCTGCCTCAGACTAATTTTGTGGCGTACCTGCAGTGTTGACATGCTATTTTGAAATAAGCTATTTCGAATAACTATTCTGGAATAGCTTATTTTGAAATAAGCATGCAGTGTATCCAAAAGGACATAAAAAACATAAAAGGACACTTTTCACTTAGGATGCTATAAAATTCAATATTTACACCAATTTATTCCTGTTTTCAAAGTGCCAGGGTAAGCACTTCCTTTAGATACAGATATAGGTGTTATTCCAAAAGGTATTCTATACCCTTTCTTATTAAAGGCCTTCTCAGATGTTTAATGTGATAAAATGAGATGCTAAACTCTTTTCATCCTGAGTGGGTACCCGATTCACTATTGTCCTCAAAACATCCAATTCTGTCCATTCTTACGCTCAATCAGATGAGAATCTCCTTGTTCTAGATAGTGGATCAGATGACAGAATCAAATCCAACTTAGGTTTTTAGGTCATTAGCCCTCCACACTTACTCTGAGAAGTACTGCTTACAGATGTGTAATTTCACCGTCCTTGTCTTGGGGTGGGCTCACCACCATGGGGCTTCCTGCTGGTTGTTTTGAGAATTAGCTCACATCCATCAACAAGACACCCTCCAGTGGTGGCGTCTTGCTTGCCATTACTACCACTCTGTTGTCTCCTCCATCTGTGACCCATGTTGCTCCCCAGATCTGGGGGTCCTCCTCTAGGCACTGTCCCGTGTCTATGCCCTGCTCTGCTGTCCCTCCCCCACTTCTAGGGGAACCAACAGTCTATTGTCCAGCCACCAGCTGACATACCAAACTGCAGCCTTTCGCTAACCACTTCCCTCAGTGGAAAGTGGGGGTAAGACAGGGAAACCCAGGCCCACCTGCTACTCTGGATTCTTACCCAAAGATCCTATAGTTGGCAGCCACTCACTGCCCCTTTTCCAACTCCTCTGCTGACTCTTGTCCCTGGGGCACTTCCCCCATAGTCCTGGCAACTTTTCAGCCTCAGCCTTATCAGGGCCTCAGTCTGGCAGGCCTCAGGCTGGAGCTTGCTATTACTCGCCTGACTCTGTGTAGCTGTGTTCTGCGCAGGTAAGTCTCAGCAGTCCGTCTTTCTCCCTTGCCCTTTAGGGAGAGGGTGGTTTGAGCATTGGCCGGCTAAACCCAAGGTTGTGAGTTCAATTCTTGAGGGGGCCATTTAGGGATTTGGGGCAAATCTGTCAGGGATGGTACTTGGTCTTGCCACGAGGGCAAGGGACTGGACTCAATGACCCCTCAAGGTCGCTTCCAGTTCTATAAGACAGATAGGGAGAGACTGCCCTCTGCTCTGCTGAGCACCCCTTTATATAGGAGGTGTTCCAGCAAGCCTTCTCCTGACTGACTTGCTTAATGAGCTCACCTCTGATTGAAGAGTTCTGTGCTTTAACCCCTCCTCTTCCTGAGTGGGCAACCAAAGCACTACTGTATTCAATAGAACCAACTGTGAGAATAAGTGTTCAAATGATACAACCACAAAACTGAATCCTTAATATGTAGCTGTCACTAAAACTAGTAAAATACTTGAAATACAAGTGCAGCAGAACCACCATTTTATGAACTAATTGGGGTTCATAAAACCCAATTTTATGAACTAATTTGGTTCATAAAACCAAACTGAACTTCTTAAAATTACAGTTTGTATTCTGTGTGAGAGTGGCAGTATGATGTACTGCATTGCTTTCTTCTTGTCCTTCAAACCACTGCGAGGCTATTTTCAATTCCTTGAAGGCATTGGAATGTGAAAGGATGTCGACTTATTCTTCATTGACATTCCTTTCATTATGCGATTACCGTTTTTCCCGACCAGGAAAAATGGTTTGTACAATTTGTTGTTCATAAGACCGGTGTTTGTAAAATCAAGTTTCTACTATAATTCAAACTCTCAATTATGACTACGTGCCTTCCTCATAATATATGTGCACTTTTAACAAAATGTTTTACCTCGGGTCACAGGAATTTCAATACCACGCCCAGATTCTAAATTTTGTAATGTAGCTTGCAAGCCTGTAACCTAAAGAATAAAAATAAAGAAAAGTTATGTGGACTTTGATTTTGTACACTGCCACCACAAGTAAGAAACCAGAATATGCATGCATAAATAATCAATCAGTAAATACCATGTGCAATTACTGATTTAACTAATTCACTAAAATTACTCATTTCATTCACTTTTCCAGAAACATCTCCAGTATAACTCATTTTGAAAATATTAAGTCCAACAATGGCATACAATAATCCATCCCCAATTTCTGGTGGTGGGAATATTATATATTTATTTAAACAATGCAAATGTTCTGGGCCATCTTAAGGGCATTATCTAGACTATGGAGAAGATCGAAGGACAGATCAAATGCCACAGTGTTGATTTAGCGGGTCTAAAAAAGACCTATTAAATCGAATGCTGAGGGTTCCCTCGTTGATGCTGAAACTCCGATGCCTTGTGAGTAGAGAAGGAAGTCAATGGGAGCATTACTCCCATCAACGTCCTGCTGTGAGGATGGTGCTGAAGCTCGGCTTAAAGTATGTCGACTCCAGCTGTTTTTGACACATGCACTTCTCATAATAATTTCTCATTGAATTAAAAGTTAGTTTGCTAACATAATACGGCCCATGATATTGTCACAATAAAATAGCTATCACAATATGCTACTGTGCATTTAGGAATGCCTGCCATTCTAGCAGCTGGTAAACTGACCTGCCATGTATAAGATCTTTCATTTTCATTGCACTAGAGAATGATTTCACAAGATAAATCTTTTATTATGTATTTCAATTATTAGACTTTTACTCCGGGTGCCGATGTAAGGC